GTCGGGTTACGGGTAAATCTGGTTTTGCATATAGAATGGGGCTTTAGTTGCCAAAACATACTTTATGACATTGTCTAGGGATGTACTCTAATCAATAATATACAGGGTGTTCCCTGAGTAGTCAAAAATATTATGACAAGTGATTCTTTAAATTATTTTATGGTATGAATTTCATGTTAAAATATGTCCAAAAATGTCTTTTTTCTTTTCAAAACTGATGTCGGTAATGAAACAAAATTAACAATTTTTTTTAAAACCCTCCTCTTTATGGATGAAGCAACCTTTACCTGACGAGGAGTATTCAACTGGAGAAATTCACATTACTGGGATGTTGAAGCAGCAGCACTTTCAGCACGAATTTAAAATTAATGCGTGGTATGGAATAATTATACAAGATCGCAACGTACGCAATTTTTCTCAAGAATGTCTTTCTGTGGGCGATTTTCTCAAGAGACAATATATTTTTTAATAAAACGACTTCAATGTTTCAATAAAATCACCCAGTATATCGGTTTGACTAAAACTTTAAGAAATAATATGCCATAATAGTCCAAATAAATGTTAACGCGATCGGTGAAAAGATTATGAAGTTATTAATTAAATTAGTTTTATTTTTGACAACTTTGAAGGCCTGTAACTCAAAACCCAGAAAGTTTTTATTATTTAACTTTTTTTACGTAGATCGTATTTATTTGTCGTCGTGCCAGCTCACTATTCTCGTGAAGTGCACACTTATTTAAGTGAGCAAATTCCTCATCGATGGATTGGAAGAGGAAGTGGCCACCTCGCAGTCCTGATTTACATCCTTTGGATTATTATTGTGAGACCATTTGAAAACATTAGTTTATTCTCACCCAATTAGCAATCGATAATAATTGTGGAACCAGATATTGAATGCCTCACAGTTTATTAGAAATCAACCCAACATATTTTTTAAAGGCCGTAAATTTTAACAAAAAGAATTAGAAAATGTATGGAAGTGGATGGAGGAGTATTTTGAAGATTAAATAAAATAATTCACTGTCCAGTTCTGTTCATGTTTACAATTTTGTTTTTGATAAAATAAAAATTTTATTAAATCAGGTACTTCTCTAACTTTCTTGTCATAAATAGAATTTTTTAAATTATTTCGATGGTTATTTAAAAAAATTGCAAATACAATTTTTACTTTAACATCCTGTAACATTTGGACTAAGGTAACTTTGGCCAGATCACATTATTGCGACGTCACAAATCACCTGTTACTCTGTGTACAATTCAGTACGAGACACTTTGTATATGAAAGTATTAAGTGTGCCAAATTTTAATAAAATCTTCAAAAGCACAATTTTTTTGTCAATTTTGATGCTTACGCGGAATATTGCGACACCCCGTATATTAATTTTCTTCTGACACACTTCTGTCGACAGATTGTGGCGTATTATTATTTTGACAGTAAAATTGCAACGGTTAATTTTGATCCCGATTTACCGGAGGTACGAAAGTTTAAAGTTCCTTCCTATATGCAGTAAAGGGTTGTGGTTAACTATGATGTGGACTAGGAAACAGAGAAGCGCACAAGAACAACATAACAATGGTTTTGTAACGGACTCGGTACATAGTACGCCGGCCGAATTCGCTTATAGGTTGACTGGGACAGAATTTACTATCCCCGACGTTTTACGTGTTTTGCTGGGAAGGAAGCAGATATCCTGTTTGTGCACGTAGAGGTTGTTTTACAAAGTATACAGGGTGTTCTACAAGGTCTATGACAAACTTTGACAGATGGTAGTTGGGTTAATTTCAAACACTTTTTCTTATTTGAACAAGCCTTTTAAAAATATATAATTTCGTATTTCAATCAAAGTAGCCTGATAAATAAAAATGGTGGTTGTTACAACAATTATTATTTGTGCATCGGCTCGAATGCAAGCCTCACATCGGCTATTAAACTCTTCGTCAACAATGAATTTAAAAAAGTTTTTTTCCAAGAAACTTCTACAGGGTGATTCACAAATGGTGACTAAAAATGAAACTTTATTCTTTGGTGAATTTTAAGGGGAGTCTTTTCTATGAAGTTTTTATCTAGGACTCTTCGTTAAAAAGATACAGGGTGTTAACCTTCAAAAAATATTTTTAATTTTTTTAAATAATTTAGAAACTAGTAAGTGAAATAATTTGAAATTGGGCACATGTATTTGTGTAAATATTGTCCAAAATCTGATGGCTTTTCCTAAAATGTACATGCTGCAGTGGCGGAGATACAAAGTGGGTGTCGTTGGCATATTTTTCTAAATAAAATAGTACACCACTGCTTTACGGTGCAATGATGATATTTTCGGATTCGTCTTTCAATTTTCTACAATTTACTAGTTTTTTATGTTTTTCGAAAAAAAACCTGATTTTCTAGTAAAACTTAAAAAACCAATTGAAAACACTTACTTAAATGACATGACAAGCACTAATTCGGTTATTTATTCGAATAAATAAATTAATAACATTATCATTTTAATGACATTCTGTTTCCTTAAAAAGTTATGTTAGTACTAGTTAAAACGGAATCGCGAGCGGAAGAATTCGCCTAGTTTCATCGTCCTAACAATAAAGATTCTGGTACAAGGAAGGACTAGGAAAGCATGAAAATAATATTTATAAAGCAAAATATTAAATTCAAGTTAAAGGTTCCTGTGGCGCCATCTTGTGAGCCTTAGATCAACTGTGGCAGAAAATTCCAAATTCCTACCCGGTACCAGGTACTTCAGATCAGATGGTAGTTTACTATACTGACTGATTGCGAAATTGCGATTGGAGTACGTATTTTGCATTGGATTCTTATTTTTTAGGATTGTCAATTTGTTTTATTTAAAACTGAACTGAATTTTAAATAATCGAGTTAAGTAATAATAAAAACGACCGAATTGTAGTAGGATTGCAGCTTTCTTACGATATTGAGGTGTCATTGGTAGTTATTAAAAAAATTACGCATCGTACTTTAGGAATGTTGCTTTCAAAAGCTATAATCGTTTTGAGATGAAAATATTTAGAACAGACCAGGATCCCAGTTAGGTAGGTAACCCTTTAGAAGTCACGCATTTTTCTGCTCAATATTTTTGCCTGAATTTTGTTACCGTGGGTTTTTGGGTCATTGATTACGAATATTAAGTCTGAATCCGAAAATTCCTGAATAAAGATGGTAAATTCGATATGGCAGATGTAAAAATCGGAAAAGCATTCAAAATTTGAAGGTTGCCACTGAAATTTTGTTACTTGGGTTTCAAAGGATCATCACGAATATAAGTAGGTAATCAGTTTATTTTCATCCAAGTATAATAGTTCATTTGTTCTGGAGATCTTGTACCTATATGACATTACAGTCAATTGCATTTTTTTCAAAAACTGCGTTTTAATCGATTTTAACACAAGTACTTTCATATCTAATGAATTCTAATGAAATTTTACTTGTAATATATGATATTCTGTAATGATCTTAACTTGGAAAAAAGGTATATCATAAAATGCCACAGGTAAAGATTGTAGCTAACGACATCTACCATATGATATAAAAATATCAACTCTAAGGTATGTAACATCTTCAAAAATTTTCCTGTCCAAAAATTTCAATAGGAACATTCAATTTTTGTTTGTTCGTTTGGAAAAGATCTGGCTAAAATTTAATAAAAAGAATTATCTTTGACGTCCTGTATCTCGAAAACAAACAACAATAAGTCCACAGGAAAGTATCGTCTTATTTTTTATGTTGTTAACTCCTGAAAATATTAGTCCGGGTGAATTAGGTTTTTTTTTCGAAGATCGGGCAGAAGTGGAATTTTATAGACTAATTGTAAGTAAAAAATTCACAGAACAAATACCTAAATTTATGTAGTTGTAGAGGTAGAGCATGATATTGTTTATAACAAAAGAAAAAAAAATTGCCCTTTTTTCAGTTTTTCCTTTATATCTCCCGAAAATAAGCCTCTAATCGACACAAGGTATACAGGGTGTTCCTAAATATCATGTACTTAGGGACGGGGTAATTCTTTGGCTTATTTCATGACTAAAAGTTCATATAGACATAGGTCTGCAAACGCTTCGTTACCAATCTACAGGGTGTTGAAATTTTAAGATATTTTTAGTTTTTTCTCTATAGCTCCCACAGTTTTTGAGATATTTAGCTGAAATTTGGAATATAGGTTACACTGTAGGGCTTACATCGTTGGACATGCCAAATGGATGTGATATTGTACAGAGTGATATAGAGAAAAAATTTAAAAAATCTTAAAATTTCAACATCCTGCCGATCGGTAACGAAGGGTTTCCGACCTATGTTTATATGAACTATTAGTCATGAAATAAGCCAAACAATTACCCCCTTCCTCTTATGTGCATGATATTTAGGAACACCCTGTATACCTATCGATTTTGTTCACGAGTCAATTTGCTACAAAGATGGGCTTTTGCGAAAGCTCACACATTTTTTTTTACGTTGTTAAATTAGCAGTGAAAAAAGTGCAAAATTTTCAGAATTAATTAAAAAGAACAAATTTGACTGGAATTGGATGAAACTACAGGAAAAGATAACTGTTGAGGTGTTCAACAAATATCCGCAATCCGGACCTCCAATTTCAAAACGGCAGCCTATTGCAAAATTATAAAGTCGAAAATGCGAGCGTGTATATCTTCTGCCCAAGCCAAGATATCAAAATTTGAAAAAAAAAGATCGAAAGATACATTGTCCCGCGTCTGTGTAAATTTCAGACTTTGAAGTTGCAAAATAAAAAAGTTATTAACAAAAAACAAAAAAAAAAAAAACGGTCCTTATCTCAGCGGTTTTTTAATACTCAGATTTTAAACCGATTGTACCAATTAGTGCTTAAAAGAACATGAATTTAAAAAAAAAGTCGATCCGCAGTTTGTTGCCAACGTATTCCTTTTAGTACACATTCAATAATTTTTACAAAAAACTTCTTCGCATAAATCAATATTTCCACATTTCTTTTTAAACTGCAAATAAAGCAACCAGAGACAAATCGCAAGCTTATTTATTAAACATTATTAAGTTTCCTAATACAAAAAGAAATAGTAAGAATCCGAGCAAACTTTCACACTACATTAATTAAATATTTATAACTCGAGACAGCTTCTGGACACGCGTCAGCAACAAATCTCCTTGCTTCACCACCGAATTAAACTGCGCGTTTTTCAAATCGGGCCTGTTGGTCTCCACGATCCCTCCAACCCTGTCGATTTTACAATGCAGACGACCCGTCGCTATAAACGTCGACAATTCCCTGAAATATTCGACACCCGATTAATAAAAATCCAATTTTTTCACAAAATTACTTACTCGTCGATGTAGTCCATCGTTACGCCAAACGCCTCTGCCATATACTGCAACGTTAGGGACCTGTACGATTCTAGCAGCTGCGTGTAAGCTAAGATCTTCATTTCTCGCACGTAATAACGATAGTGCGGGTTCAGGAAGTAGTCTTTCCTCAAAATACTCTCAACTTCGGCTAAAAAATTGTTCTCGTTTTAACCACTTACGTTACTAACGAACGTAGACGTATATTTACCTAAATTAGAAAAGAACTCGGCGTAATGGCACTTGTAAAGCGAGAAAAGATAGTCCTTAACGAAAGGTTCCGAGTGGAGTACTTCTAAAATTTCCGAACCCTTCACAACCTACAACAAAAAAATTGTGACGCCCCTCGCGTAACACGAAACTGGAAAAACACTATTCTAGATTATTTGATAAATTTACCTTATCCCGTAGCTGATTCCTAGGCAGACTAATGATAGAAGTGTACACAGTATAACGGACAAAAGCCTTGTAGTCCATCAGCTCATACGAAGTAAAGGTACTGACGGTATCCAAAAATAGGTTTGCAGCCGTTTTAAAATCTCTGACGGCCATACAATAAGCGCCTTGGTACACCTTCAGACGATTTCGTCTATCCCAATCCCCTCCCTCCTCGATTAAACTACAAACATTGTAACTGTACACTAAAACTCGCCATGTTATTTAATACAATTGTACCTCTTTGCTTTTTCGATATTCCTCGTGATGAGATCGTGATCCATAAAAAACAACCCTATCCTAATTAAATGGAAGATAATATCGAGCCGGTGACCCAACGAAACTGTCTTGTCGTAAGTCTGTCTGAAGGTACTGACGGCGTTCTCTTTGTCTCCTATACGGCTGTAATACTCTGCCTTTCTCAAATAGGCCTCTCGGACCTCCATTTCGCCCAAGTTTTTCTCAGCGTCTTCGATGGCTTCATCTAACAACTTTATTTGTTCGTCGTTCTTGGTTTTAAGGGTCTTCAGCATAGCAGGGTCAAGTTTCCAGCCCGCGTCCTTGCATATGAGTTCGTACCAAGGGGCCATATCTAAAGGTATTAAAAGAGTTATGTAGAATTTATTGATGTATAATATTCGTATATTCTAACATAACGTTATTAAGTAAGGACAAAGTAAAACATATACTGTGTTGTGTTACAAAAGTCCTAAGTCATGATTTACATACCATCTTTCTTTATTGCTTCTGTAATTTTTGAGTGCACAGCTCTATCATTTCTGTACTCTGGCAAAGACAGAAGAAATTTATAGTGAGTCAGCTCTAGGTCTGGGTTTTTTTCAAGTCCCTGGTCTTCCAAGTTTTCTATCGGCATTTTCACTTGATTTAAAAATCACAAATCTCAACTCTCAACAAAACCAAACTGATGACAAGTCAAAACGGTAGGCAATTTGACAGTACACAGAATTTACAGAAATGAAATAGAAATTGTTATGTGGTTATGTTTGCTGCACTGATCAGTCTCGTTTTCGCGAAGCGCCTATCATATCGGTAAGCAGTCGGTATCTTCTCATTACGTCACTTATATTGGCCATTTAAGATATTTGAAAATAAAGGAGTATTGTTGGATATTTTATGTGAAAGGAAAAAAGACTGCTTAGTTTATACATATTGCTTTATTTTAGGTATATATTTTGGTACAAATATCGTTGCAATATAAGGTAATACATTATGACGTTGTATTAGGTTAACAGTTAATTACGCTACAATAATATTGATCCCTTCTAAATGCACACACCACTATGGTTGGGTTTTATGGAGCTTTTCAGTCACTTTCTACGTTAACAGTCCTACAATTTTACGGTATTTGCTGTGGTTTAAGCAAACTGATGGGTACCTGAAAAACTCCTGCACAAAGTAACGTGCCTAGGACACCAAAATCAAAATTTGTTATCATTGAGCAAATACGGGCATCCACAGAATTTTTATTTATTCTCACCGTGTCGTGGGATTGATACTGGTGGGGCAAAACAATAGGTAGTTACAGAGTCCATTACAAGCTCTTAAATAGGTATATATTTCTTTATACGTCTTAGGCCGTAGTAGCTAAACACCATAGGCGTACGCACGATTTTTTTAAGGAGGGGTACTTCCCCTCTTTTTACAACGTGTACTGCCTGCTAAACATTAAGTAGTAGTATGGGACATTTTTACAATGTTTTACATTACTTATTAAGAACATCGTTTGCGGCAATCTCTAGAGAATGTGAAATAAAATTCGTAAAGAAGGAAAAGCTATATTTGGTTTAACAATTTTGTTTAACATGTATATTATTCAGAATATAGTTTTAAAGATTCTTTTTATTATTAAATCAGTCTTTAAGCTTATATACAACTCGGAGTTTTAAAAGAAGTCACATAAACATTTCTAGAATATTATAAAAAAATTTTAAAATAAAATTCAGGCAGTAGCTAGCTTTTAAGTCCATTGAAATATGAACGCCTACAGTTCTTTGTAATATTTACGTGACTTGCAATATTTTAACGTGTTTTTTTTTTAACGATAACTTTTAGATTTGATTTTAACAATTTTGAATAGTCGGTCGAAAGGGTTAGAGGCACAGCTTAAGGAAGGCATGCTGATATGATAAGGTTCTAGATTACGTTATAGTAATTTTACACCTACATATACATAGCTAGTTGTGGCCAGGAAAAGCATTTATATTCCAGAATAGAAAGATGAATGAAAAGATCATTTTATTTGGATTTTATTATCTGACGCGGGCAACTGAGTTCGAAATAATGTTCAAGTTGGTAGTATTCGTACTTATTTATATTACAAAAGTGCTAATATCCAAAATCCAGTTAAAAGTTTTTTATGGCCATTAGATGGCGTTGGTTTCTCTCGTTTCATTCATCTTTATATCGTTTTACAGAATGTGGTTACAGATAGACCTTATATCGACCTAAATGCGTATCTAGTACTTTTTTCTGTTTAGAATCTATCTATTAATTGACGTTTGCAGTATTTATGTTACATTTACAGTAATAACAGGACCTCATTCGTTCTCAAGCAAAAATCGAACTATCTTACGTCTCTGCATCGTTTATTTACAGGTTTTGTGATGGTTTTGCAGTCTTAGTTATGAGGAGAAACGTTTTGCGAAAAATGTAATAGACCGGGAGATATTAGACTGAAGTTACTCTGAGAGTACTGACAAGTAACCGAGAGATAAGTACAATAAACTAAATTTAAAAGATGGACTGCGAGACACCTTTGTGAATATTCAATTTTCCTTTTCAAAAAAATAATGTGTACAGCGACGTATTTCTCACTTATGCCATGTTCGTAAGTTGAAGAGAAGTATCGATTTTATCACAAAATTTTTTTGCATAAGTGTCGCAAGGGACCTAAAAATGGAAAACTTTGTAAGAAAATGTGGAAAAACATCTTTATTTGTCTACCAATTTCTCATTAATGCCAATTAGAAATATTACATTATTATATTCGAAAAGGTCATAAAAAACATTGGCATAAGTCCTACTAAGGACTAAAGAAAATAGAGCTTTGGAAAAGCTGCGGAAAATTTTTATTTTCATTCTATAACTTTCTCATTTATGCCGTTGAAAATTTATGATACTTACTATAAATAATGTACTGTGTCAAGTAGGCATCA